GCAGACTCTCTAGGCGTCCTGGAGGGAAGGTGAAACGGAAGGCAAATGCCTTTGAACTGCTGAATGGTATGAGACAAAAACGAGGAGACATGGGAAGCAAAAGAGGGATGAGACAGAAACGGTAAAGTGACGGACTTGTTGTGCCTGGGTACGGAGCAGTTACGAAACTGTAACGCAGATTTGAGCAACTGTACCACCCTAGATCTGAGAGGTTGCTCCATGATCTTGGCCATCCTGAACATCGCGTACAACTCTAGCACTGACACTTTGGCAGACCTGACAATTTTTGCAGCAGAGAAAGATGCCGAGGTCAGCGATGCCAAGTCGTACAGAAGTGACCATGCTTGGCTTTTGTCCATCAAACATCGAGTCGGAGTACTTGTTGAAGCAGCACGTCTTCGAACTTTTGCCCAAAGTCTGGAAAACAGTGAAACATTCTTAAGAGAAGGACGTGGCCTGAGTCTCTTGAATCCCAATGCTGACTTTATAAAGAAGCGATCAATGAACGGTGAATTGAATCTGGGCTGCCATCGATCAATGAGTACATGCTCTTGTACCCAGGCTTGTTTGTAGTCATCATGAACTGAAAGACAAAGTGTAGAGAAGTCGAAGTAACTGCCAAGCGAAGCCCAAATGCGAATAGCAGGTTCAACTTGAACATATTGCTCACGGAGAACTTGCTTGAGTTTGGACTGACGGTTGAATTCACGCTTCGAAATAGTGATTGAGGTGCTTCCCACATACATCCATCGGTCTCGTTGCTTGAATGACGAACGGGTACTCCAAGACACGGGAGCTTTCAAATAAACTGCAAAAGGACGCTGAAACCGTGTGAATGTATACTCAGACGGTGTAACTCCAGCTTTCTGCAATTTTTCAAGCAGCCGTTGCTCTGGCGAAGTACCCCTGGAGTAATAGAACAGTAGAATCAGATGACAAAAACCTTGCAACCAAATGGCCATCACTTTGTCCACATGCGGAATAAATTGAAGCAAAAACGACATGAACTTGCCAATCTCAGTAATGCGAACGTGAGCTGACCGAATCTCCTTTGCGGAGAATTCATTGGAAGCAAGGCTGTGTGCAATTCAGACAACTTGAAATGCTGCCGCTGCGATGCACGTAGAAAGACTCTTGATACCCATCCTAGATGCAAACGTCGCCGAGATACCGAATTTGACTGCAAGTTCTTGCAGTTTGGCTTTTTCCTTGCCTCCATAGTTGATCTGCACAAGCTTGGAGACAGAAACAATGTGCTCTTGAAATTCTGCAAAGCGCTTGCCTAGGGGGCGTTTGAAACTCTGGATCCACTTGTCAACGTCACCCTCTCCTGATCCTTTTAACCGTGCTTTGTGATCATTCAAGGCTTCTGCAGGAACACTGTCGATCTTGTTCTTGAGGTCAGTCTCCCAAGTCTTCGGTGGCGTCCCGGATTGTGGACCAGGAGCACTGGATTGTGAAGCAACCGGGAGCTGTGCTTTCGAAGTGGGTTTCGTAGGGGTAACGGGAAGTCCTGCGGCTTGCAACTGTTCACGGCGGCGGTTAAGCTCTTCCGAAATTTGAAGGAACTTCTGGGATTGGTCAACGCCTGTGGGCACCGGCATGTTGTCAAACATGAGCTGAACGATCTTGTCAATCAACGGCTGAAACAGGATGGCGGAATCTGTGGTCTTGCTGGGAACCATTGTGGACGGATTGGCGGTCTGAAAAAGTTGCGTAGCAACTGCATCGATGTCAACCTTGCGATCTCGAAGGCTTTTGGTCACTTGCGACACGAACACCGCTTCGGCAACTGTGGCAACTGGCACAACACTGAAGAACTTGCCATGGCTTAATGCTCTCAGACGCCAATCTGAAACTCCATGGAACAGGAATTCTTGAACAGGAATGCAAAGTGGATCTTTCCCTGCGATTCCTTTCTTTCGCGACCACGGGGTGGCTTCAATGCACTTACGAAATGACAAACCATGAAGTGCAGTTGAGTCATAATGATCACGATCTGACGTCCATCCATTCGGTAACGCAGGTACAAGAACAGGACCTTGATGAAGTGGCATGGGAGTAGACGGCGAAGATGAAGGTCCCGAAGCAAGTGGAGGTGGAGGTAGGGGAGGCGGCTGACTAGCAGGAGCAGACTTGGGGAAGTTGGGATCATTCCAACTGCCCGAGCTGTACGGCTGAAAGCGATGCTGACCCCATGGTTGTTGGGATCTCCCGTATCCTGTGCTGGAGTTCCACTGTCCATTCCATGCCATGGTTTCTGAACTAGAGACAAAGCTAAGTCCAAGGGAACGCTAAAGACACTTCGAATCAAAGAGCTCCATAGAAAAACAAACATGCTCAACGAAATCTCAAACTGCAGCACTTGCGTCAATCTTGCACGACCCTTGCACAGCACTTGCTCAACTCTTGCACATCTGTCGCACACCCTTGCACTGCTTCTGAGGCTTCACTTGCACAACACTTGCATATCCCTTGCTGGCACACCGCTCGATCCGAACTGGCATGTTTTTGTACATGTGTGCGCAGATCGCAGTTGGCAATGGAAGACGCTTGAGAACGTGGTTGGTCAAGGCAACTTACGGCACTCAGACCTTCCAAAAAACAAGAAGTGCTTCCGGGATGAAACATGAGGAGCGAAAGACCCATCTGCCATCTTTGGCACGGGCAACATCACGAATGTAACTGCAGGAATGGTCACCCTCAACTCCTCCCATGGGGATCCTTGAATGGGGGGGCGTGAGGGACCCTTGGCGATTAAAAGCAGACCCAAAGATGCACAACGGACGCTCACTCAGAATGCCACCGTACTTGGACGCAGCCTCTTGTGCTTGTTCTGCATCTGAAGTGTGAGCCCTAGCATAGAAGGAGATCGGTGGACACCACATGCTGTCACGAGCATCCCAATACGAGGGTCGAATTGTTCCCTCAAGAAGGATAGACGCGGCCCCGGCCACCGTTGTGTTGTGTGCAACAGGCATGCGAGCAATCCCTGCTGCCGAGGTCTGCGACTTGATCATGGTCCTCTCAAAGTGGTTGAAGTGGATGCTCAAACACTTGCACGAATTCGACAAGGAACGAAGCTCAACAGATCGAATGTTTGCAGCTTGATCGGCTGCAGCAATTGCTTGAGAAACATACTTCAGTGCTGTCGAGTTGACATGCTGAGAAGGAAGTCCTAACAGGCACATCAGATAGTCCGCAGTGCTTTGCATCAAGGAGCTGGGAACTTGCAACTCAAGATTGGCCTGTATCTTTCTCGAAATCTCACATGCCGATTTCATACGGCCAGGGCTGGAACTGATCAAGTGGCGTAGGGTAGTAAACATGGGGTATAATGCGACCCAATTGAAGTTGGCTGAATACACTTGAATCAGCTTCGCTTCTTCATCACGCACTTCCAACCCACGAAGTTCAGGAATCACGAAGAAGTTTGAATCTTGTTCCCACTCTACTTCCACATGCCCTCTGAGAAGAGATCGATTCCCAAGATGCTCATAAGATTCTTGCAAGGGTTTAACCCGAAAGACGTAAGTCTGGTCCGCACTGAGCTGCCACCCTACACGATCAGCATAAGTACCAGGAATGTTATCGCAAATGGCACGAAGTCGGATGCTGTTAGGATCTGCAACAAGAGAAACTCCGCTTCCATGGACTTGCCGAAGTCGTTTTGAGGGCTGAGAAGAATCATCCGTCTGGACTGTGATGTCTGACTGCTGGCTCTGACCAGAAGTTGCTGCATGACTTTGTTGCGAAACAACAGTCTGCTGTATGTCGAGCAAATTGTTGAGACCGGCATACACATCTCTGTGACCTCGGACATGAGTCAAGTTTGCCGACATAATTGCTGAATATTCAGCAAAATCGGCCACCGAACGAAACGACAGACGGAAACCTGTGCCATCTGCATGAAGAGTGATAGCTGGTGGAACAGGTCGATCACTTACAGCACGTACGGCTGCAGAGGTAGGAGCTACATCTGCTGTTCCCAATCCAACATTGCATGCAGAAGAGATCGGCAAAGATGACGAAGATGGCGTCGGGCAAACTGCAGGAGTGGGGGGTGGGGGAGGGAAAGCGGGAGGGGGAAGGGGAGTGGGGGGTGGAATCCACTTCGCTGTGGTACCACGAGAGGAGGGCTGGGCAGCAGTGAGGAGGGGAGGGGGGGGCAAAGGAGGGAGGGGAGAGGAGGAGGAGGGTGGAGGGAGAGGCGGGGGAGGAAGAGGGGGAAGAGATGTCCCGGTACTGCATCCTTTGTCTGAAGTATCCATGGCAAATTGATCAGCAACTACTGAAAAGTACAGCTCATGTACTCAACTTGCAGCCGAAGACCTGCGACAAGTCACCGGTATAATCAGTTCGGGAATTCAATCAGATCATAACAAAGTCGATGAGAGAATCAGCATTCAGTTTCGGAAAAGGCATTTGGGAAAAACTCACTGAAAAAGTCATCCAATGCTTATTCAATCAGTCGGGAAAGTCAGCGCCAGAGCTACCTCTGGGAGACACGGCGCCCATAGGGAATGCCGTTGTGAAGCACACTTGACACATCGTGTCGCAGGTCTGGTCAGTCAGTGCATATTGCCGAAAACTGTCAGGAGAAGTCAGAACATGCGATCTGAGGTACTGCATAGAACAAACACAAATCACTCATGTAAGACTGACCTATGCAGACCCTCACTCATGACTGTCGCATTAACAGACAAACTCTTGAACAAGAACTGAGCAAGAAACTGACCAAAGCAAGCCCTCACTCATGACTGTCGCATTCACAGATAAGCTCTCAAGCTGCCACAAGCGTGACCCATGAGCAGCTTTATGCAGGTACAGGTTCACACGTCTGTGAGCCCATCCAGTCAACATCCATAGCTTCATTGGCGTGGCTGGGATGCGACTGCCACGCCCCCTGCTGCCTAACTCACTCACGTCTCTTGGAAACAGAGTTGGACACACACACACACACATACAAACCTTCGAAGAGCGAAACGCAAGAAAGCGTCCTTCGGAAGGCCGAGGCCAAATCCCGCAAGCGCCACTGCCAAGATGAAGAGATATGTCTCCTGCACCACGAGGGCCATGACGAAGGGTTAGAGGCTTGGACTCTACCGAAACTAGCTGACTAGCTGGAGGCCGGAAGGTCCTCAATCCTGCCTGTGAAGCCAAATGACCTGGCAGTGTTGCGCACACAAGGCATGGCGAGCGTTTGCCAGGCAGATGATTTTCATGATTGCACCGAGAATGCAAAGGGTACGATATCGCGTGATAGAACCGCATGTTCCTGTTATTGTGGCCCCCCATACAAGCAACACTGGCGACTGGGCAAGGCACGCATGTCGTTTCTGCACCATCTGACCCGTGACTTTACCTGCCAAAACTGAAAGGATTTGAACACTATTGGCTTATGCAACGCTTATGCAACGCTCACCCCGTTTCGGCCTAAGGCGAAGCCCATGACAACGGTCGCGATCAAGCGAATAACATTGGCACCGATAATTGTAGCCTCGGACAGCTTTCTGAATCCGCATTCTGGCAGTCCCAAATTGCTGGAAACGCTGCGTTGTGTCGGAAATAGGCAAGCATTCCTGGCTTCTCAGTCGCTGGCCGGGTCCGCCGAAGGCGACTTTGACACTTCGGCAAAGCCCGACAGCAGCCCGAAAAGGGTCAGCACAAACGAAGCCTTGGCTGGTGTTGGCTCGCACTCCATGGCACGACAACAGATCGTCAAAGAAAGGCCAGCATGAAATCCAATGTCGGCCTCCAGTGGAGCCGTCGTAAGAACAAGTCGGGTGAGCTCTGCTTTTCCTGACGACCGGATAACTAGCAGTTCAAGCATGGCAAGATGCCTTGCCACGTGGTGCCCTTTGCCCGAGCACCTGATGGTATCTGATCCTCCATCTCGATCATCTTCGGGATGACGATGCCATCTGCTAAGCCGCAGAGGACAGCTCCTGTCACACTAGGACAAGGGATGAACGTTCATCGCATCCACGTTCCGGGAAGCCCACACCCCGATCTCCTGTCACACACGCTTCGATGCGCGACAGCTCCTGCAAGGCTGAAGAGATTGCGCAACCGCAAAACATGACCAGGACTGCCAGCATTGTCTGCTGTCGTCTGCCAATCTTAGCAGTGTCTGCCTGGACCTTGCAATGTCCAGGCCTCCATGAAGCACGCCCAGATGGAGATGCCCACCTCAACTTCGGGTTGTCTCTGTGACAGCCGTCGCAGCCGGTGTTGACGTTGATCTTGCCATATCTTAAGGCCCCCACGAACTCACAGAAGCAGGGGACAATGCCCAGGATTACCTCCAGCTCTCATGACGTGTCGAGGTTACAAGGCTTTGGACGAATCTTGTAGCTCATGCGGAACATCTGGAACCACTTTGAAAAGAAACATACTTGCACGTCCCAGCTGGTTCAACTCGATTTGGGAAATGTGGTGGGGGCTTTTATGCAACTTCGCCACATGACGAGTTTTGGGAGTATTGTGACTGATCTCGAAGCCAGCAGTGAGGAGAACCAAGAAGAAGGCGCATTCCTCGGTGAAGAGCATCGTTCCATGCATGTATGTCATGTATGTCGTATCCTCAGGCCCAGGCCTGGAAATGGTCACGTCCTTCGAGGATTTCCTTGGGCTGACAGGGTGAGCGAGGTGAGTTCGTTACGTTATGCATGATGCTCCGTGCTTCTACGACGACGTGCTCCAACTCCAACCCACACAGCAGAAGAAGGTGCGAATGCAGCGGTCCCGATGCTTCCGTGGTTCTGTTTGCATCAGGCCGAGTTTGCCACAAAGCCAGCCACTGAGCAGGACGCCCACCGGGCCGGGCAGGTTGAAGGACACGAAGAGGGCCCTGACAAATCACCGAAACGCTGGTATTAGGGTACCAGGAGGAGAATGCTTGCCCAATCAGGTGACGCTCACAGGTTCTGCTCATGCCAGTTTTCGTCCGCGAACCGATGCGTCAATGCAGTGCAATCATACACACAGAGAGCCTTTTCAGTCTTTCTCCCGGATCTCTTCCACCACACCTGCCTTAACAACCTGATCCTCCTGCCCCACCCCGACTTCGTTTCTGCGGCTCTGGCAGAGGAGAAAAGATTACCAATGACGAACGCTGTGCAATGCCCCATAATGCTTAATAGCTGGGCCTCAGCAGGTAGCCGACCAGCAGTAGCACAGCCAGCCCCATGACGAGTGGGAAGGCCAAGGGCGGCGCCGCCGACATGGCTCCAAGTCGCGTCTTGCGCACTGGCACAGCACTGGTACAGCTTTTCACTATTTGCCTTCGTCTGGCCGTCAGCCGATGTCAGCCGAATTCTCGTTGGTTGACCGCAAGCGTAGAGGAGAAGCGCGCTGCGTCACGTGTAAAGGGCACGGGAACACAATCACCTACCCGTGGTCTTGGTAAAGACATCACACCAAGCTAGGATCAACAGATGTGGATCGAGAAGTGCTGGTGTAGGGGCATGGGATCTGGCATCTCGCCATAACGCGCTCACAACGCGCTCCTAATTTAATGTGAAGCTCAAGCAACTTGAGCCCCAGGTCAAGCACAAAATGCACTAGCAAAGGACGTGACCGCAGCTAGACTCATGCTCAAAGCAACTGTACATACTGGCGGCAGCTGGGCCGAGCTGTTTCACCCAAGAGCACAGGATTTGATACAACGCCAATTCTTGTGACATCTTATGAGCCGCATTGTGAATGTTTCGTTGGTGAGTCCTTCAGCAAACATACGCCAGACAGCAGACGTCAGACATGGTGTGCTGGCGACTTTCGGATGCTCGAGCCACGGCCGTCCACACACGTCTCTAAACGTGGCTCCAAGGTTGGGTGACACGCAGAAACTGCTGTAAAATGAGTTGAGTGGAGACATTCATTGTTCACGACATCTTGGCTTCGTCTCGGATATCGCAGGCCAGTCAGCGACAGCTCTGAAGATCCCCACCTATGACGATCACATTTTAGTAGCCGTCTCAGATGCACTTTCACAGCCACAAAGAGCGAGCAAACTTTCCTCCCAGACAGGAGGCAACTGCAACTTCACACATATCAGGACCGCTTGGCATGCTCCCGGGCGGCACCTCCTCCCCATGCATCTGGCGGGGCAATGGCTGGGCGAAGCGCTCGCCAGGTTTCTTGTGGCCCTGTGTCCTTAAAGCAACGTGCTCTTCGAGTAGTGATCTTAAGAAGGAGAAGATGCTTGCGCGACCTGATCATGTAGAAGCGCACTGAGAGTGGGACCCAGAAAACATGGGTATCAGACTGTCCTAAGTATGCTTGCAGCTGGGCAATCCTTCTGCTCATGAATTTCACCAGACCATGCATGGAAAGCTTCTACATTCTACATCTGCCGTTGCATCCTTGCATGAACGAGACCAAGCTGCGGGTTTTTGCCCAGGCCTCGCTCGACACGAACCCGGCTTTGGAGAGTTGGAGACTCTGCAAAGGGTAAGAAAAGTGAGTAACGAAATCAAAGCTTCAAGTTCAAATCTTCACAGAACTTCCAGTTTTTGAGTTCAGGTCTCAGAAGCGGCAGCCCGGACTCATGACACTTGGCCGCAAGTAGAGTGACTCCTATCTATCTGGGGTCCCAGCACGCGAACTTCAGAACTTTCCTGAGAGCGCGGGTTCATGTAGAGCAGCAAGTTCTGCATTCTGAGTCTTCTGAAACGACACATACCGGACACGCCGGCCAGATCACACACCAAAAACACCGCAATCGCGAAACGTTGAGAAACTGCAGCCTGTCAACTGCAAGGCAAGGCACCTGCGCTCTCCGGATGAGGAGCTCCATGCACATCAGGAACCGTTGAGAGGCTGCCTGACGCAGGTTGTCCATCCCGGCTGGTCACTGAAAGCTAGGCTATACGAGGACTGCCACTTCTGCTGCAACCAGAAGGCTTCGATCAAAGCTCGATAGTGCGAACTTCATGCTTCCAGAAACTATGATGATACAGATACAGGTTGTATTGTGATCCGGTCTGTGAACGGTTGGATCTTTCCACACCAAAGGGTTGAGTGCTTGTTCGAAGCTAATGCATTTTTCCTCTTGAGGCTCCTCTTCTAGGCTGGCCCAAAGGCACATTAGAGCGGACAAAGAGAATCATGGGGAATTTGCAGCATCATGCTCTTGCCCTGATGGGGAGATTTCGGTGCAATGATTCGTGATGGTGTCTCTTCATCGCACAAGATCGCATCTGCATGTCTTGGCTGCTACCTGTATGAAGCAGCAAGGAGCCTGACACAAAATGCATGAATCGTGCATGATTCATCATTGCACATGCTAGTGAGGATGAAGCAATGGGAAGCTCGACTGAGGCTGCAGCCATATCGCCGAAGACAAATGCAAGCTTGCGCTTCATGAATTCAACGACAACGATGTGCTCCTGCAACGGCCCATGCATCCGCATGCGAGCCTCCGAATTTTGGGCTTCACCCGTGTTGCTGCTGCTGCTGCTGCTGCTGCTGCTGCTGCGGCTGCTGCTGCTGCTGCGGAAGAAAGACTGCCCATGCATCTCAAGACAAATATCAACTGCAGCAACCCCCGGATCTCTCCGCGTTCGAAAGAGGTAGAGGAGGCATCGGCGTGGGCCCCGTAAGCGACCCTGCAGAGAACCACCGGTCGTCATTTTTGACGATTCGGTACCTTGCGAGGTCTTGCAGCCGACGGCTTTGCAGCTTTCGACAGCTCTGGTCTGCACTGCATGCCCCAAACTGACTCTGATTGTCAAGAAACACTTTCGACACAGCGCTGAGGGGAAACTCGATGATGCAGCCACTACCCTGGTCAATCCTCGACAGCGTTCCACCGTTTGAAGAATCATTCATGCAGGCTTTTCCAGCTGTGCAGCATGGGTCGTGCTTGGAGTCAGATACCGCAATAGCCACCAAGAGTCTTTAAAGTTTCCAAATTCTCCAGAATCTGACAGTGAATGTCCGAGTACTCCTCAGTGGGAGGTGGGAAAGAAGATCAAGGAGCACAGAAGCTTCGAGAATCTACTGGTGCAGACACTGTCAGACAAAAAATCGTGATGAGCCGCAGCAGGAAACCCATGGGCACATGACGTTAGGGCCGTTCTTGGCTCAGAAAAACCGTCCCCTGCTGTCAAGAGTCCTGGCTCGAGCCTGACAGGAAAGCAAGCGCACTTCCACCCTGTCAGAAGGACGGTGCAATGCGCTCTTCTACAGGCCGAGGCGCTTATCTGCGTCATGTGCATGCCTCTGTGCAGGTCCAGAACGAAATCCTGTGGGCAAGGCTAGGCACGGAGGCTCTGCCACAGGGAAGGTGAGAGAACCGGACAGACAGAGGAAGGGAGAGCGAGAGGGAGAGAGAGAGAGAAGGAGAAAGTGTGCTGCACGCTTACCTGTCGAACAGCACCAGTGCATGACTCCCCTCACCGGTCGATAGACACATGATGATGTCAATATGGGTGAGTCCACGTGCAAGTCGCGAACATCCTTCTTTCGGTTGGCTCCATTCTGCACATCAACCATCTTGGAAACCAGGTCATACTGAGAATGCATCACGCCTGGAACACCCGGAGTAGAGTCGCCCGGCGCCTTGCAACGGGTGACAACCGAAGTCTGCGGGATCGCATCTTCACGGCTGTCTGTAAAAGCACTCACAATTCCACTTCCGTCGTTCAAGCACTCAACTTCCCTGCATAGAATCACACACTGACATTCACACACCTGAAGGTCTTCCACCGGCAGCTGAGACACTTGTCCTCGGGTTCGTCCGGAAGCGCGTCTGGTGGCAGCGGATATCGTAGCAGCCGTGGCAACTGAATGCGATCCCTGAAGACACACAAGGCAGGTAAAAGCACGACAATACGACAATGCACGACTCAAGGATGCTACCGAAGAGAAGCGCGACCATGCACATCCCCTCCTCTCTTTCGCAAAAAGCATTGCATGATAGCATTTCTCTGAACACTGCATGCCATGGACGAAGAAAACGACTCAGCGCTTCCGCAGTGGACAGAAGAGACAAACTCCTCAAGCTGCACAGCCTACAAACGGCTCCGGCCTGAAATCATGCTGGCGGGGAGTCATTTGCAGCTGTCTTGTCCATTCTCCCATGGCACCAGCACGTGGGGAGACCTGGAATGCTACCCGGTTGATATGCCGGCTTTGACAACGCGCTCTCGTTGCATGCACCGAATCAGAGCATCTATAACTCTGGCAATCCTTAACAACCTGCGGCTCAAAATCAGAGCCACGCAACCGTGACATCGAAGGAGTCCTGCTCCGTTAAGAGATGGACCGGGTGCGCCAACCGCGTCTCTAGGACGTCGCTTGTGAGCTGCACCTCACTCATGCGCAACTGCGAAAACTAAAGCATCAAATCTATGGATGACGGGCAGCAAGGTCGTGGCAAGGTCGTTGACCAAAACTGTGGGGTCTGCAGGCATGTCTTCCTTTCTTTACCGCTGATTTTTACATCCAGCCATGGGCACAACCTTCATTTCGCCGTTGACAGAGGTCTGCTCGTGCCTCGGCTTCATCATGATAGCCTCTCTCGGCATCGCCCTACTCACTCCGCATCCTGCCTCGTCCGTGGACCTGAACTTTACGGCTTTACTGTAAGGTCTGTCCTGTTGAGAGTCTGGAACCTTCATGGATCTTGTGAGATTGTGCAGCTCAAGGTACTGGACGTTGCAACACAGGAGGTACCTGCAACAAGGTCTGCATCAGCTACAACTGCAGCTTGACGCGACAGGAAGAATCAGACTTCGGATCATGCGGAGCTTCAAGACGTGCTACAAAGTGCTTGGTTCAAGGCCTTGCAGCCATCCCACACAGATTCGGGACTACGTGCCTGCCTGTCAAGACCGAGGGTTGTAATCCAGTCGCTCATCATGCGGATCCTTCCGGTCATCTAAGAAGATGCAGCCAATGCAGGAACGTCACTGTCGCGTCTTTGGAACACACGATGCATCTAAAATCCAACCAAAGGAAGTCAGTCCGTCAAGTCATGGGGGCAACCATTGCACGCAGTCTCGGCGCCATCAGGGAGCGGCAAATGATGTTGCAAAGACCAGCAGATTTGGTCGCGCCAGTTTGGGCTTCGGGCACACCACGGCAGCCGCTGCTCCAGCTTCTATTTCTCACTGTAGGATAGCTGCGTCTCAAAAAGTTTAGCTTCGGTCTTTATGTGATCGCATGCCTTGGCTTCGTCGACCGGGCTGTTTTTGCCCCCTACCTTCCATGACTTCGAGCCGAAACCCAGCAGGTTCGCGCGAACTCCTCTCGGCCAGCGCGCCACGGAGGAAGTCTCCCCCTTCAATCCCCCTGTGCAGCTCCCACATTCCCAGGGCGGTCCCACCTGCGCCTTCACCTGCCAGGCAACATACATAGTATTCAGGAGAGCCATGTGGACCGTCGAACAAGAAGTGCACATCAAAATGCACCAAGCCCCCAAACAAAGCTTCTGAGAATTGATGGTAATGTATAACAAGTCAATGCTGCCCTCATGCATTCCGAAGGCCCACCAAATCACCTGCACACGAGTGTGTCCGAGATGCAAGAAGCTGCAGGTCCCCGCCTATCTACATCAAGCTTATGGATGTCGGATAAGGGGGTAATGCTTGAGCCATAAAATGGCTCTTCTTTCGGTCAACAGATGTCTGCACCAAGCACTCTGTAGCAGGTACCTCTCTCTGCCTATGTCCTCCAACCAGCGTTCTGGTACTTCCAAAATCCAGACATGGCAAGGCATGTTGAAGGTACGGACCAAAAGCATCAGCAGAATGAGCAGACGAGAAAAACTCAACAATCCCAAGCTCCCACGTGAGGGTCGTGCTCTCGGCTGCGCTCGGCAGACTCTGAGGAGGCAGAGCGTCGTTTCTTCTTCTCCTCCCACAGAGGCCAATCTCTACTCTTGGCTGTATTGAAAGGCTAAGATGTCCGAGAACGCTCATGCGACGTACCTACAACTACGACAGGCCCGAGCCGCAAAAGTTGGAGGCAAGGCCTGACTGACTGACGCTTCAAAGCCTGCCAAAGCATTCTGATCTCTGCCTGACGAGGTTCCTTGACTCATCAATTCCTGTCAACACCTTTTGAGGGCTGTGGTCACCTCGCTTGTTGCTCTGCAAACCCGCGATTGAAACTTCCAGCCATTGTATATGAGATTTGGAACGGAACAGGTGCAAAGCATACAATAACCTGCCTCGTTGGAATGTAAACAGTTGCTTTCACACTGCATTCGATGCTTCGTGCGAATTTGTGTATTTCCGGGCTCCTTCTTTTCCTTGCGGTCGCGCTCACGGTCGCCGCGGTCCTCACGCTCGCGCTCGTCCTTGAGCATGGGGACATGTCATGGGTGGCAGGTAACAGTGTTGCTACAGACTCTACAACTGCCTGGGATGTCCTGCAATGTCTTGGGATGCTGAGGAGGCTTACCGGATCGGCCTCTGATGGCCTCTGACCAACGTTTCTGAGGATGCCGCTTCCTTTCCCATCGCTGCGTCGCCTGCCAAAGCTACCGACGGGTACAGGCTGCTGCTGGGCTCTGTCGCAGCAAGCGCGTCTAGAGTTCAATCGCCAGTGCACCAAGAACAAAGAACACCTACAACGCGAAAGACAACTCTCGAATTAGGGGGACGTCTCACATGATGCAGCTGAATAGTCAGCCAGGAGCAGGAGCAGATGATGACCCCTTATCCTGGAGAACTTCCACACCAATCTGGATGACTGGGCGGATTTGGCGAAGGGTGCATCCAGAACAGTGCAAGAATCAGCCGCACGCCTGCTATCTGCACCCGTATTTCGGAAGCGAACTGTGCGCTGGAAACGGCCGCGGAAAAGGTCAGAATATGGGGCACTCGGCACATGAACTTTGCACAGACTTCATACCAACATCATGTATACTGTTCACAGTCATGCCCATAACAACTGTATTAGGTTATTAGGGTCGAGATAGCCGCTACGCACATCACATCGTGAGCTCGAGTCTTCCTTGCTTGCAGGACAAATCAGAGCCCCGAGACCTCCGAGACACACAGGTGGCGCAGTGGCACTTAGATAAAATGCACGTGTCCCATATCCACATGTGGGACCGCGGCCGCCGGTTGGAGGGGAAGGGGAATTTGGCGATGTCCCCAGCCTGGCACCAAAACCCAACGACTTACCAAACGCTTCGGCTGACTCCGACAGCTTGACACGAATCCAATGCAGGGTCGTAAACCTGTCTGCTGCACTGGCCCCCAGACACGTACATGAGTCTCATCGGCCGAAGCAAAAGTCCGCTTGACCAGAGGCACCTTCCAAGGCTTGAGTTTGGGGTTTGTAAGCTGAGCTGCACCCACATGTTCATGAACATCGATGGTAACCAATAGTACACCAGAATTTAGCCCTGCTGTTTTCCACTCATGACGCATGACTGTAGCACTATTCAAGTCGGGGCGGGGGACAGCATTCAGGAAAGTGGAGTTGAGTCGAGTCTTTTCCTTTGACGGAATTATTGTCTCGCCGGCCAAAGCAGTGGCCTCCTAAAGGCGGGCTCGGTTGCACTGAAAGTTGGCTGAGGGGGGTGGTTCACAAGTTCACTAAACTTTTTCGCATGTCGAAAGGACGTGTTCTTATGCTGACGCTCCAGGGCCAGCGAACAGGATAGTTTAGGTTTGTGACACGCCTATGTTGCGTGCCTTGGGGCGTTTCCTGGAATCTGGTCGCGTTTGGAGTTCTGGTGCGTTAGCCTGCCTTTCCAGCATCTAAATCCAACACATGCTGATGTGTTAGGTGCCACTACATTTGACAATCGAATCTGTAAGGCTTGCACCAGCTGTGCGGCGGGTGTTAGATGGCCAGCATATGTCAACTCTCGCCTCAGCAGCCAATGTTGTAGCAGCTACTTCATAAACAGTGTTCGAAGACTTTTCCCATCTTGCACTCAACAACCATGTCTCCGAAAATCTAGCGTGAATGCCGCACTATTCATTAATTTCTCGTGACAGCATGCACAATAACCGCAACTTGATGCTTTCCCCAAGCATGATAGGCTCGCAGCACCAAAGAGCTACAGGCCGACGCAGCAAATACCCTGGGATCGGGACTCCAAGCCAAACGTTAGTGGTTCCGACGCCTGGCCACGCCAACAGGGAAGGAACAGCTGCCACCGAGTTTCAAACTCAGCAGCAACTGGATTTGTTTCTGAACAGAAGCTTGACCTGCATCTTACAACTCCTGTTCCGGTTGCCTCGTGGACCATGGCATGGCAAACCTTTGTCAGGAAGGTGCACACGGGCAGTGCATGCCAACGCTAGAGCACTCAGCGTTGGCTACGAGAGCAGCTGGCTGTCTGTCATTGCCACAAGTTTCGGCTTTTATCACTAGCACATCGAACCTGAGGCGAGCACCACTTTACAGCTGCTTTGCAGGTGCAAGTTTCACGGACTTTAAGGAACAAACGCTACCAGACCAGCATGGCTACTGATACTGATTCTCGTTCATGCAGAAACGCGACCTCTCTGCTTGCATGTGCAACAGTATCAATGAGCATTGCAAATGATGAAACGATGAACAAACAGTAGCATGAATTAGCATGTGCCTTACTACCGAGAGATGGAGCCGATATGCAGAAACATCCAACAGCCTGCGAGCGCAGTAAATGCAGAATGGGGAAGGTGACCTGCAGAAATCCAGAAGTGGAATTCAAGCGAGCTCGCGGAACTGCGTGCCGCCATGTACCACGGCTGCTAGCTTACATAACTACAACCTGCAACAGAAGGGTAGAACGAAGCACGTCCATGCTTCCTCACACTGCGACGTCTGTAACAAGCAGCAGTGCAAGTATTATTGAAGACGGACTTTGCAGTCCGACCGCACAACTACCCTTGTGCAATCACAGTGAGCTGCAATGACACAAGCAAAACAGTGACCACGAAGGCGCAAAACTATAAAGAAATAGAAGCAGTAAACACCGACAGACTTTTTTTGTGACTGTCTGAGAAGCTCCGATATTGAGCCATGCAAAAGGGACAGCAATAAACAGCAACGGTGCAGAGCTCACAAATTTTGACTCTGATCCGCAATGAAACGCAATTGCTCAGCTATTTTTGCACTCTAGCTCAAGGGCCCTTTTGAGTCATAACGGCGACGGCGGCTTCATTTACAGCTATACAAAAACCGCCTGACAAGATCAAGACATGACTGCAAGCACGCACTCAGGCTATACATGCAGATTACGGGGTAAATCTCTCACCCGTCTTACTTACTGATGCGTGCTGGGCCCGGTCACTTTGTGACGTCGCTGAGCCTTCCAAATCAAAATCTGTACAATGCGCTTTCTACCAGATGCATTTCCGGTAGCTACTAGCTCACAATTCCTCGCATTCCGCTGCACGACTGTAGCGCCTGGACTTCGCTCTTTGTCAGCTTTCTCGTTGGGTCTGAGAGCTGGACTGTGGCATCCGCCATAAGCTTGAAAAGCTGATGCGGCTTTAGCGACTTTGTCAGTGCGTCA